GTGTAGGGCGGGTATCCGGCAGCCGCCGCCGCCGCCGCTGCCGCGGCCGCCGCGTGGCTCGGTGCCGCCCCCCAGGCCGCGGCCGCGCCGCTCGCCCTGTACTGCACGGGGTTGCCGCCGCGGGGGCCCCCGCCTACGCCGGCCTTCAGACCGTGGCCGCCCCCGCCGCCTCCGCCGCCACCACCGACACCAGCCCCGCCGACGCCGACCTGGACGCCGCCGCCCGCGGCCGGTCCCACGCCGACGCCGCCGCTCCCGGCTCCTGCGTTGCTTCCGGCGCCGCCGCTACCGACACTGCCACCACTACCACCACCGCCGCCGCTGCCTCCGCCTCCACCGCCGCCACCACCACCACCGCCTCCGCCTCCGCCGCCGCCGCCGCCGCCGCCGCCGGCACTACCGCCGTTCGCGCCCGTGTACGTCGGCCGAGGCCCGTTTGGACCCTGCAACACATTAAACATTAAATTATTGATAAAAGATTATAAGCGACTTACGTACGTAATGCGAATACTTGGACATTTGGAGCGAAGAGAGCGTTAACATTTCCTTGCCTTATTGCATATTATATTTTACATTATATTTACCATTAATTATCTCTCCATTAATTTCAAGCACGAAAATCAATAGATTTAATTAATTAATTGATTAATTATTGAGAGAGATTAGTGCGGAGAGGTGCTTTTTTGTTTTTGTTTTTTTTGAAAGGAAAAAAAGAAAGAAAGAAATATAATGAACCTTGATTTTACATTTAATACTACGGTATAATCCCGCAGCTGTAATTCAATGCTCAAAATGCTCTTTGAATACAGATGAAAATTCCAAATATCAGCGTCATCGAAGGTTGAAAAAATTGTTACGATTAAAGTAGGTCAGATGAGTTACGATTACGTTTACTCTGATTTTCCAGACATAACGGGTACATAATAGGATATTCATATCTTCCGATATATTGTGCGCATTAATGGCGAAATAATGATAATAATGATAATAATGATAATAATGATAGTAATAATTAAATAAATCATTAAATACAATAAGAAATAGATAAAGAAAAAATATTCGAATTCGTATTTCGATCGCGGAAACAACAGTAAATATCGATAACATTAAGCAAATGATGAAGTACAGAGGTGAAAGTATCGACCATTTTAAAAAATTCTTAAATATTCAATCAATCCATGTATTGAAAAAAAAAAAAAAAAATAAAAAAAAAAAAATATATGTGTTGCACGTGAATATAGCAGACAAGGCAATGAATCAATACATTTAGTAAGGCAGTAATGTCTTGTAGTTTAAACGTTAGACCTTTACACGTAGTGTGCAATAATTTAATTAAGCTACTCGACATCACACATCACGATATTCGTGTCACTGTGCTATATAATAATGTATTGGCGAATGGTACATTCATACCGTCGACACATTACCTATTTTCACCACATATGTTAACAAGCGAGTGTATACATACATGTGCATATGTATGAGATGAGACACATATTTGAAAAGTATCGCTACGGCTTAGATAAAATTAAGTGCTAATTCTCTGTCAATATTCGATCACTCGAACGACGATCGCAACAAGCAATATACAATTTCTACAATTCAGATGTGTTAGATAACGCAATTTTCCATACTTGTGGCTTGAATAATGACCATCTCCAATTTCCTGATATATCTATGCCATAATCGCGAAATGCAACCAACTTGTGACACGCTATAAGCCACGGAGTCGAATGTTCATGGGTAATACATATACTTTGAACGTAATAGGAGATTATGAACAAACATTTATAATAATTCGATCCTCTATAATATTAATCGCTCTTACCGAATTTTGACGGGAATATTATGAATTATCGAGCACAAGACACGCTAGAGAAGCTGTGCGTATTAAGCGAATATATTTTACCCGATGTAAGTAAACGATGCATTCACACACACGCGCGCGCTCGCGCGCACAGAGAACACTCTCCTCCCCATCACGTGTAGTAGGCATGTCTCGCGTTATTAACGAACTCCGAAATTCGCCTCGTTATTATCATAAGTACCGGCCGGTGCGATGTCTCGGCATTACTCGTGCGCTTTTTTCTTGTCCAATTTCTCGTAGCCGCGGCTACCTCTCGATCCTCCTCCTTCCTCCTCCTTCCTCCTCCTTCCTTCTCCATCTGCCCTCCAGAAATCGCGTGACGCGAAAGATTTCCGGCTTCGTCGGTACAACGGCCATCGGCCATTTCGCACATAAGCATTCAAGCGTGTTCTCGTGGACGATTCCGCATTGATATTCGAATTTTCGTACCGCATCCACCGATTTTGTTCAGCACTCGCTATTTTACTAGGCACGACTGTACTATTCGCGACATGTTGCACATTGTTAGCCTTAACGCGTAAACACCCGGGCGTATTTACGGAATGCTTTGCGATTATGGGTTTCTTTAATGTCGTCGGCAACACCCGACCAATTGCTACACTTTATTTATTAAATAAATACTTTTAGTTGTCATTTGCTTTCCGAGTTTGGCTATATTGCAGCGGACTCGGGGCACTCGCTAATGGACAAACCTAATAATGCACTCTAAGGTTTCTGAATGTATAGCGGCGAAGCAGCAATCTATCACTATCCCATGCATTACGAAACAAATTTTAATCCAACTGTCGTGTATCGTATGAGTCTACAGCCATTCAAAAGTATTTGTTTTCATGGCTAAAAGGAGGAAAAAACAGAAGAAGAAGAAGAAGAAGAAGAAGAAGAAGAAGAAGGAAAAAAAAAAACTATAAATTCAAATAAGCCATTAAAACATAGCATATCATCTGACTGCCGAAATATAAGATTTCGTATCGCTGTGGAGCATAAATAATTAAAAGAATTTTGTTTTTACGATAGCTTGTAAATTCTTATAAAATAAATATAAATACTTTTCTTTCAAAATTAACACTGTCTTCAATATATTATGCATAAAATCTCGACGGGAAATTCCCTTTTCTTCGAGTGCATTCGGCAATTTTTTTGTTAAAAATCAAATATAAATAATTCGTGTCATGGATATTTTCTATTTATTATTTATATACGTGAAAGTCATTTAACGAGTAAGAGCCATTTATGAAATAATCGTGAAATCTCTTATTGGCCAATATTGCCATGTGCTAAAATCCAAAACACGCTAAATAGAATAGTTTTTTTTCTTCTCTTAATTAAAATGTGTTACTGATTTAAGATGCAGATAGTTGAAACTCTGTAAGATCCCGCTGAACTAGTTGTGCACGAAAAGTTGTAAAGAAATTCACAGTGATGAGATTCTTATGAAGTAGATAAGGTCGTAGAATACATTTGTCGAGTGTTTGCTACAAAAATTTATTAGCATACGTACGTACTGGAGGGTTACTTTTCAATTATTTTCACTGAAATAGCACCGGATACCCACATAATTATATGCATACATATTATCTGTGGCTAACCATGATTGCTATGTACAATTGTGGAGAGGCATAAGGCAAGATAAATGTTTTCTTTTTTGTTTTGCTTTATTGCTTTTTTGCCTTGCTTTAATTTGCAAGCTACATGCCATTTCTTCTTACTTTCATATCGGAATTAATCCGAAAGTGTTTCTATCTTTTATCACAGAAAGTGTCAAATATAGATTAAGAATTGGTATGTCCAGTTGTTCAAACTTATAAGGATTAAAGATTATGAGAGAAATTCAGAGCGTATTTGGTTAACTCGCTTCAAAAAGAAATTTTAATATGTATTAAACGCTTTATCTTATTCGGATATGCAATTATAGAAAAGATGAAAAATATTATTAATCTTGTTCATTACTTTTGTCTCGAAAGCCGATGCCGTTCATTCAAGCAGCATTTCGTACCATTCAATACCATTCGATAATATAAATATTTGAATATCTATTAAACAGATAAAGCCATATATACATCATATTCTTAAAAATTTCAATAATACTAATAATTAAAATAATAATATTATTAGGCATTATATTTATGAAGGGAAAAATTATGGAAAATTCACTGTCATTTTTTCCGATATGTATACAAAATTTTATTTCAATGTTTCATTTTATGATTTAATTAAATCTATTTATACAAGTCCTTTAAGCATGAAAAATAATAAGCGACGAATTGCCGAATCATGGTGTTTTCAATTATTATTAACCTCGCGTGATATATTAATATTCGAAGTTTCTTTCCTCTTAAATATATAATTAACGGACATTATCATAATTAATGTCGACGGCAATATATCAATTCTTAGTAGGATACAAATAATATACCCCCGTAGTTCAATATAAAATTAGATAAATGAATAGTAAGATCTGTAAAAGTAGTGGGCACGGGCTTCAGCAGGGACGCTCCCGTATATTTCACGCGGCCATTGACGTAAATTCAAGAAAAGCCAAGCGCAGTGATGCGGCGAATCCGATCAATAAAATAGGGTACGACGAAGAGAGAAGGAGACAGAGAGAATACGAGGATACCGCGTTCTCGCGAGAGGGCGACAAGCGTTACTCTTGGGGAAGCTGCATTTTATTTTTTTTTTTTTTTTTTTTTTTTTTTTTTTTGCCACCACGAATCATCATGCACGTCTCGTATATTTGCACAATACGGTCGTATTCCGCAACAAAAGGCTGAAAGCTGCAAAATATGTCTGCAGAGTTGAAGGGAGTTAAAGTGTATTGTTGAAAGCTTGGCAGGACAATTAGTTGATATACGTGGTATTAACGGCGACGCGAAAAACCATGTTGACGAATGACAGCTTGAGAATATCGAAGGAGAAACAAATATTAACTGCTTTGAATTATTAAAAGTGCTGTAAGTGAGCGCATGAATTATTTGTCCACGTTAAACGAACTATTGCACTTATGTTGGATAAAATGTTTCCAAGTATTGTTAACAACGGCTCGTTAAGTTTATCGTTCAGTGTATTCGTACGTTGTCTCGATACACTCTATACTGTAAATCTAATACTACTGCACACGCACACAAAATACGCCGCATATCGTCAATACGCAATAAACGATAATTACTAGTAATGCTTCGCTTACTTTATAATTCAGGGTGATACTAATATCAATCTACTTCAAATCTGCAAGGAGTTTACGATGCTACTAGATATAAAAAATGAAAAAAAGTCCACTGTAAAGATAAAGTTCATCCGTTGTTGATCTTTATCCATTGAAATTTGATTACACTATCTAATCAAATATATCATTCGATTCAATTCAATTATCATTGTACTTCGGTTGTCGTAGAGATGGGCACGAGCGCGCATTGGACGTTTTATTAGTATGTACGCATGGCCGTATGCAAAAATATGTAATGTAAGAGAAAAAGGATATTGATTACTTTTTTTTTAGTAGAAAATATTAAAGCGGTAGAAGAAGATATGGAACATATCTTAAAGTATTAAAGTTAGCATATATCCATTATAAATGTG